CCCCCCCCCAACGACAGCACTGACTATAACGTACTGCCACTAGACCATTGCATCAGTCTAAGTTAATAATTCAAATCTGAAGTATCATAATGCAAAACAGTTTGACTTTGATGTTTATGTGAACGTTAGATATCTAAGGACTGAAAGATTATCATTTCTTTTGGTGAGTTTCCTCATTTTTATTAAGCTAAGTGTTCCTTTAATTTAGGTTGGAGATTAGGAGGAACTTTCTGACAATGAGGGTGATCAAGTATTGGAAGAGGCTGCCTAGAGAAGTTGTGGAATCTCCACCTCTGGAAATGTTCAAGAGAAAGGTTGGACAGACACTTGGTTGAGATGATTTAGTCAGGGATAATCTGTCCTTGAGCAGGGAGGTGGATTCGATGACCTTGTCAAGTCCCTTCCAGCCCTTCCTGTGATCCTATGATTATACCACTTCAAGTCTATGTGGAGTATGCCAGATAAAATGAGCTAACACTTTTTCTGGGACAATGCTGTGTGGGTCTGTAAGTTAATTGTAGCTTATTTAAACTTCAGGGCAGTTCATTCCTGCAATAAAAGGACAAGCCTATCAGGCTATGTGTTCTCCTTGTCCACCTAGTGGCAGAACAGCAGTAATACACCTTGGCAGGGCTACGTGTAAAAGGGCTGTGCCACTTCCATGTTGATCTGAGTCATAACTTGTGAGGATCATGATTTTGTTTAGGGGTCTCTGTTTTATCTTGGTTTTAGTTTCTTCTTAAGCTATTTAATTTATTTTGTTTGCTCATTCTAAGCGGCCCTGAGACATGGTTGGGAAAGACAGCATATAAATTGCATAAACATATAAAATAAATAATGATTGCCTCAAATGAGATGTCTGCTTATAGCCAAACAGGCTATCGATGGGCCAGAATAACAAAAGTTAAAAAAGGCTACACAACTCAGCTTTTAAGAATTACAAGCAATTTTAAAATGATTTTTAAAAATTGTGCATGGAAGATTTTTTTTTTGTATAGAAGATATTTTCCCAGTCTATGTATATGCCTGAATTTTGTGCAAAAAATAAATTAAAACCCAGAAAAATACATAAAATCAAAATGTTTCTGGGCATCATACTCGGGTAGAAAAGTCGTTATCCAGTTTACATGCCCAAATGACATTTATGTCGCTAACTAGTGTTCTTCCACGA